CTGGCTCTCCACAGGTGGCCCGCGGGGCGAACCCACAGTCTCCCCATGGATCCAGCCTCTCCTCGGCCGTTGCTGGCCGTTGCTGCTGGCCGGCTGGGCCACCCTGTCATCTTCCTCTGCCTCTGCTTTCCTACCCTGGCTCCCCTGAGGCTCTGCTGCCCGGATGGCTGTGAGTGGCCTGCCCCCTGCTGGGGGAGCATGGCTTGCAGGGATGCCACCTGCTAGAGGCCCACACCCAGTCCAGAAACCCTGGGGCCCACGCCATTCAGGGCCACACCTCAGGCTTCATGGCCCACACTTTGAGGCTGCAGCCCCGAGGGCCCGTGTCCCCAGGACTCACCGTCTGACCAGTGGCCGCTGCTGCCGTTCCTGTCCGTTCTCAGTCACCCTGCAGGTCATCGGCTCTGGGGCAGGAGCAGGCGAGGCTGTCAGCCTCCCTCAACCTCCGCCTTAGCTGCCTCCCTGCAGTGCTGGAGAAAAGGAACTGTGAGGTCAGAGGTCACCGGGGAGGGGCCAGTCGATTGACAGCATGGAAGAATAAGCACTTGGACTTTTAAACCTGGGGAAGGGGGCTGCGAGACATGGGGCTAGGGCTCCACTCCTGGGTCTGAGGAGCACCTGGGTCTGGGCTCCTGGTCTCAGTGAGGAGGGGGCTAGAGCTAGCCTCACTGGTCTGAGCCAGAGGTGGGGGGTGTGGGGGGGACTGAGACCCTGGGGTCTGAGGGAGGAGGAGCTGGGGGCCTGGATTCCGGGTTCTGGGTTCTGAGTGAGGGAGCTGGGGACCTGAACTCCAGGGTCTGAGCGAGGGAGGCCGAGACCCGGGGTCTGAGTGGGGGTGCTGGAGACCTGGACTTGGAGGTCTGAGTGAGTGAGGCTGAGACCCGGGTTCTGAGCAAGGAGGGCTGAGACCCCGGGTCTGAGGGAGGAGTGGCTGGCACCTGTGGGTCCCCCCAGAACGCTTCACTTACCTGTGCCCCTTCCCTGGAAAGCTTCCTGTCTGAGCCGGCCTCAGGGCTGGGCCAAAGGTCCCTGGCGTGGGAGGCGCCTGTGTTTGACTTTGGCCTGATGTCATGCAGCTGGGGACATGCAGCTGGGGATGGCTGACTCAGCTCTTCCCCAGGGACGGCCCTCCTCCCCCAGGAAT